AATGATTCACCTATTCTAGTTTCTCGCTTCTGAAATAAAATGCATGGACAAAGGATCTTTCTTTACTGGCAGGAGTAAACACGTGCCTTAACAGAATACCGATACGTCAACGCTTGTGCATGTGCAGAAAGAGGAAGAGAGCGCTTAAGAGAGAAAACGACAGAAAGAAAAAAAAAAGAATCTTAGCGAGAAAAAAAAATACAACATCAATATTCTTGCTTGTAAATGCATTTTGAAAAAATCTGCTGGAGGCTATAGTGTACCCATTTTTGAAAATTTGTACTTCATATTCATACTCAGTTTTTCACGTTCTTTCGAATGATATATTTTATATTAACTCTGCACGAGATCGAAAATTTCATGCCAGTTGATATGTGTGGAAAAAAAATGCTCAGAGCCAACTACGAACAGGAGTCATTGTTATCAGGCGGAACAAAGTGAGAGTGAAATCTCAAACGTTTGAACTCGAAAGATATTTTGCTTGTCTACGTACATGTGTCTTGGCTAGTTAATGCTAAATCTCATGCAGTTATACCGATTTCAGAACGTCATTATGACCATGACTTGATCTATATGTGAGAAGAAACGTTCCTGGTATACTATATATCATTACACTGCACCCACGCTTAAGTTCTTTCCTCGTGAATATTGATGCTCGCATCCATATGCTGCTTATTAGATATGAGAGTGGATGATTGTCACTCCTCTTGAAAAGTCATAAATATATTATCAGTTTATCCATTGAGTTGACATCTATTAATATTTACTTGTCATGCATGATTGGCAGTATTATTTTTTATTTGACTGTTTTTTGATGATTTGCAATCTGGTCCCTTCTTTGTTTGGGTAAATATTTATCATTTTGTAAAGATAAAAGTGTACCTTGTGATATTTCTCTTTCTATCACTAGTTTTTCAGATCCTAACTTATGTACGATCAACGTACTTGTGCACTAAGCTTTCTCTCCACGTTCGATTTGATTCATATCTGCTGACTAGTTTGATGCTTGAAATGTAATCTATTTCGTATCACTTCTTGGAAGTGGACGAAGTACTAATTGCCAATTTTGACTGAGAGTCTTTGAAGTATTGAGCTTTAAGCTACAGTTCCACAATGCCGTTTTTATTCGTATATCTAACAGAGTATTTATACTTTCAGAGCAGTGATAATATGAATAAATTATTTCTACTACTTCAATTAATGTGCCCAGCTGTTCCATGGGTAACTGTTTATCATACATTGGAAACATTCGATCAACAGGCTCATACTTGTTTTTATTACACGAATCTCAAATCAGGCATTCAGTCCGTTCCATATTGTATTCAATCAACCGCATTTTTACTAAACAATAGTTCGACAATTGCGTCTAATTGTTCTGATGCTGGCACACAGTACTCATTTTATGAATTGTTTCAGCTCGGTTATGATGTTACTCATCTTCTACAATGGCATGCGCCAATAGATGACGCCGAGAAATATGCTGTATATCTGAATGATCATCCAAATAATGAATCCAATTTAAACGATAATTTCATTTGTAACTGTTCACATCCAACTGTATTTGGTCATTCTTGTGAATATCAATTGTATGCTGGTGAAACGATTCCAGAAGCTATTAAACAGCAATTTAGTGAGCGTGTAAAGCATCGCATGGGCACTCAAATACACGGAAGACGATCGTGTTATACAACGATTGACCAATGTGATTCTGGTTTGCTTTGTTTGGAGTGGCGGCAAGTGTGTGACGGTATACAAAATTGTATGTATGGTTTGGATGAAGAGAATTGCCATAAACTTGAATATAATGAATGCGAAGATGATGAATACCGTTGTGGTAACGGAATGTGTATACCAGGAGAATATTTTGTTGATGGTAAGTGAAATCCAATAATTTTTCTCTCCATCAACAGTAGCAATATCCATCGAAGGCTAATGAATTATGAACTATATTAGTTCATCCATAGTTATTTCTGTAAAATAAGAGGACTCCAAGGGCAACTTCGAATGTGATATTCACTGTTAACTTTTTCTTATCGAAAATATTCTCTTCCATCTCATATAATTCGACTGCAATTGGAAGCACATAAAGTCATCGAAACTTATTTTCGGATAATAAATTTCGATAGTCTGCTCTCGGACTTTCACAGACATTGATTAATTTCTAGTTAGTCAAGTGTTTTTTGTTCGTCAGATTAAAGCAAGATTTCGTATTTTATGAATTTATAGTTTGGTGAATGCGAACAATGTTCATGTTCTCTTCATATTGATCTAACTTTTTTCATAGTGACACGTGCTCAAATTTTCCAGATTTGAAAAATAACACAATGATACTGCTCGTCGCCATACCTAATCTGCTAGATTAATATTGATGATTTTTCGAAAAATTTGAGATTGATCTGTCAGAGACTTTTCTATTATAAGAGTTATGTTTTTAGTATGTGACTCTTTCTATGATGCCATCTGTAATTAGTACTCTAACTCGTAAACTAAGTTAAAGTAGCAATTTGCATTGGTACAAGCGTCCATTTTTAAATATCATTCATCTCCTATTTCTTCTTAAATTGTGATAGGTGAATACGATTGCATGGACTGGACAGATGAGTTGAGCACGAATCTTATGACTGAATCAGTAGAATGCGCGCTATCACCAAGTTTCTATTGTCATGAACGTTTATGTCGACCTCATCATTGGTCATGTAGCGATGGTCAATGTTTACCACGCGGAATGATACGTTTTAGAGGAACATGGATTACAGACTCAAATATAAGTTGCTTCAATCTTCGTGATGTCAATTTTATTTGCGAATTAAATAAAAACATACAATTGTGGACAATTGAAAATGGATTTTGTCTGAACTTTCGGAACATTTCCTATGGTATGCCGGTCAATCAGTCTACAAATGATGTAGACTATTGTACTTTTCTTCTTAAATGCGTGTTATCTATGAACATGAATGCCGATTGTCCTTGTTCATTTATGAACAAATCCTGTGCTGAAAAACTTATGAAAGGATGTGAAAATTTGGGCATGATTGCATATCCACATGGTCCTTTAATAAATCCATTTACATGGTCAGTCTATTATGTTAACAAAACCGCTTGGCTAGATACAGTACCTGATTACTTCTATTTCAATGGAAGCATTAAATGTAAGTAAAATGCAACATTAAATTCAATGATAACATAGAGTTTACTCATCTGAATATTGAAATTCATAATATCATTGAAACTTAAATATTTTAGACATTGCTATTTCCGAGTAATTGTATTATATAACTTCTCAGCACACGTTAGACGAAGATCGAATGACTTGGTTTTGTTTTA